AGATTCCTTTTAAAAACTAAATTATTTAAGATACAAAAATGCATATATTGACTCAAGAAAATCAGTTTTAATACAGAATTTGATTATTGGGGCCATTTTTACCTACATGTCATATGGGGCCATTTTTACCGGTGCCATCCTTTCCGGGGCCATTTTTTCCGGGGCCATTTTTTCCGGGGCCATTTTTTCCGGGGCCATTCTTACCGTACACCCCTCACTGACACACGTCACGGTTCATCACAGGTAAGAGACAGAACCGATATTCAACAATCTTAACTAAAATACATTTTTATTTATTTTTCTTTTCATTTTTTTTTTTTTAATTTAATTTTTTTTTAACACGGTTAATGTTATATTGTAGCGGCAGTTTAGCGCAGCGGTTGACGTTTTGGCTTTCAATCGTAAGGTCGGAGGTTCGAGTCTCCGCTGCCTGTGCAGATTCGCTTGTGTCCTTGGGCAAGGCACTTTAGCTACATTACTTCAGTCCACCCAGCTGTATCAATAGGTACCAGCAAAACTCCTGGGGACCAACCTGCGACGGACTAGTGTCCCGTACAACTCTCATCCGCTTCACACTACAGAAACTGGGGATAAGCTCCAGCCCTATGAGCCCCAGTGGCTCGGAAAGGATTTAGTTTTTTTTAATGTTATATTATTATCATACTATTATCATTACTATCACATTAATTATTAATTCTATTATTATTATTATCTCGAGAAATCAGAATTGCATAAATTAACAGCAGTAAACATAAAAGAGTTTCTTAATCGGTTTGTTTTGGGGTTTGTGGACTTCTGGGAAGTCTAACTCTTCCAGATTTGTTTATAATGATGTCACTATGAATCTTGCAATATACATTATATTTAAATTTAGTCAGAAAATTATAAGAACATAAGCCATCGAGTGCTCCTACCTCAAGTCCGGTGATACGCGAAACTCGCCTGCCTATTTTATTAAGTTTATCTTTTAGGGTTTTGTCTAGATTAGAGTACCAAATAATAAAACAATAACACAAAACTGATTGAATAACTGATAAATAAAAAATGAGACGGGGGTTAACATTGAACCTCCTCAAACGATATATGAAGCTGTACATCCTTTTGTTACATTAAATGTATTGTGATCCCATTTAAGTTTATTATCAATAATGAGCCTCAGGTATTTATGTTTTTCCACAATTTCGACCTCCTCGTCATTTATTATAAGACTAATGATTAACCACAGTCCACAATAACCTCTTTATTATTTTAATGTTTTAAAACAAGAAAGTTAACTTTACACCAACAACTAACCTATTAACAAAAGAATAAGAACGGAACAACGTCATTATTTTTAATTAAGCCTACAATCACGTGTCGAATCAACAGACGTTTACTATATAATTTTAAAACAAAATTGACAAAAAAGAAGATCAACGTTTCAAGTCCATCATGGACACATTCTCAAGATCAAGTGAACAACAATATACAAAAGTAGACAAACCTTAATCACAAGATTAGCACCTACTTTGTTAATTGTTCCAAGCTACAGTTGGAGCTATGATACTGATAAGCTCCATGCAAATTAATCTGCTGGACACATTCTCAAGATCAAGTGAACAACAATATACAAAAGAAGACAAACCTAATCACAAGATTAACACCTACTGTGTTAATTTTCCTAGCTACAGTGGTTGGAGCTATGATACTGATAAGCTCCATGCAAATCTGATAAACAATTTTGCTTTAATAGAATCTGTTTGTTAAGAGATGGTTTTAAATCTTTAATCCATAGCATTTCTTTAATGAGGCAGTCAAATTTTGATTTACATTTAGATAGAACACTAAAAGTGGTTACTTCAGAATCACTAATACCATGTTCTTTTAGGTGTTTACCTATGTTACCCTTACTATGTTCATCAATACATTGATAGAGGTGTCGACAAGTGTAGCCGATGTAGCTTCAATCACACAAGCCACATTGGAATTTATATACAACGCATTGTTCATTAATAAAATATAAATAAAAAAAATACACGTGTCATCTGCAAATTTAATGTGAAAATACCTACTCTTGCCAAAAGGTGACTGGAAGGCACTCGAATAAAGGGAGAATAATAGTGGAAAAAATACGTACCCTTGTGGTACGCTTGTATGAATGTAGGTAAGAATGGCCTCGGAAAAAATGGTTTTCAGAAATTATTTGTAATACTATGGGTAAAAACCCAGCAAACGTCCGTTTTACGAATAGTCGATAGTACCAATGACGTTTGCCCTTTGCATCATCGACCAAGTAATAACGTTAAAAAGTCCGATTGCGTACGTTTTTCAAAGTGATAATGTATATTTTTCTTAATAATAAAATCAGATTTGTTGTATTTATTTATTGACAATTCAATCTTTTCCATTTCTGCTATAATAGTCACTATTAATTCAATTTCAACGAACTACCACCAACGCCAGTCTTTAAAATGAGCGCACATGTTTACGATGACGAAATAAAAAAGTGTGTGGAAGTCAGCAACTTATTTGACACCGCGAAGCTAGATTTTCGCGAAGTGCATGTAAACAACACAATTGAGCGATCTAAAAACTACAAAACAGGACAGAAA